TCAGGATAAATTTCAGTTGTGCTACATGAGTTCATTGCCTTCCAATGCCAGGTTATCTGCATTATGAATGGCCACTGTTAATAACATAATTAGCACTAATATTCCTTCTCACCTTGCTGTGTGTAATTCATTGCCGCCGTCATATATGTCTATGCCTGCAACTCATGACAGCACTTCAAACTTCTGATGAAGTGGATGGCAATCCACAGTAATAAATTTGTTAATATTTAAGATGCACAACACTGTTGTTTTTGCTGCAACAGAGTAACACGGCTACTCATCTGGAAATTAACAATTAGGTCATACTTGAGTTTAATTTCAGCTTCAGTTCAGCAGATGGTGCTATGCCCCTGCTAGTTTTAAGGACCACAAAATCTTTTAAAATGCCATTATAAATTATTTGCTTGTTAAATTCATATTGTAAAGAATAGTCGTAGTGATTTCTTTTATTTAAAAAAATAATGTATTTTTAATAGATTATAAAAAGGCATTTTCTCTTTTGCTTGTTTAGCTTGCTATGTTCTAGACCAGGCATAGGCAAACTCGGCCCTCCAGGTGTTTTGGGACTACAACTTCTATCATCCCTAGCTAACAGGACCAGTGGTCAGGGATGATGGGAGTTGTAGTCCCAAAACATCTGGAGGGCTGAGTTTGCCTATGCCTGTTCTAGACATACCCTAAATTGAGTTTGGGACTATGCTAGTGAATGATGTCAAACCATGTGCATCCTTTAATACTGCAGCCCTATACATGTAAAACTCACAAGCAGTTCCACAGAGTTATGGGCCTTATTGCCAAGTAAGTATACTTAGGATTGCAGCTTACAACATCTTGTATCCACTCAAACACAAGTTCTAGTGAGTTCATTCCTTATGGAGTACAGGATTCCAAAATGTAAAAGTAAGCAGTCACCTTTAATTTAAAAGATTTCTTATCTAATGAGAGACCTCACACAACAAATTAAGTAGATTTAAATCGTATGCATGTTTATGTTTATTTTGTTAATTAAGAGATAAATCCTGTCATCTATTTAAAATTCAAGAGTAACCCAGTTTCCTTGCTCCAAATCATTGCACTGGTTATACAAGTTCCTCACATGAATGGCAATTGTTCCCATCCATTAAATATTGGAAGCTCAGCATTAACTTGAAAGTGAAATGCCTGGCCAGAATTACAAACTATTTTTATTTAATATTTTCATTCTTGTTTTTGTAAATCTTGTTTTTAAAAAACTGTAAAATTCTACCTGTTTCATAGGACACATAATCTGACTAAAAAGGAATAGAACCACATGAATTTCAAGTGTTTTATTTAAACATTTAAAAGGTTTAAGAGCACATTTCAAATGAAAAAATATTGCAGACTGACAATGGATACAATCCTGCTGTAACAAGCGAAGAATCAAAGTGTGAGATACACAATGCCCTGGAGAGGTGAACAAGGAAGTGGTTATTTTAAGCAGCCATAGGCAACACTCATGTGTCAACAAATGGAGACAGGATATAAAGAGATAAAGATTAGCGAACAGCAATACGGTTTGCTTTATATAATGTACCAGTAATCCGGTTTGTCTGCTGTAACTGTTTCTGACACAAACATTTCTGAACAGCAAAGACCTAGAATTGTTAATACGATGTTTGCAAATGCTTTCCAGTAGTGAACAATTTGGGTCACTCAAAAAGTAGTCTATTTTGCTTTTCTTTTTTAAACAAGAGTTTTCCTAGAAACAAAATGAAAATGCAATCTTTAACAAGCCCACATATAGGCTTTGTTTACCTCATGGAGCAAATAAACAGTCAACAGATGCTTAAGGAAAGTGTATTTATTAATCTGTTGTTTTTCATACAGATTACTAGAAGAGCAGCCATTAAATATGTTATTATCTGTTTATTTATGAACCACCATTCACATACGTCAGAGTAATTTACAGACACTTCATAAAAACAGCTTAATATGAGCTAAAACAGCTAATGTTAGAAATGTAGAACTCTGATCCTAATAGCTCTCATTTTAAATAGAGCTCTAAAAAGTGACTATGGGCACATTTCAAATAAGTCCAACGATGATCACTGAGACTTCTTTATAAGTGAACTGTAGTTTGTTAAGGATGCTGGGATTTGTAGCTCTGTGAGAGGAAAGCTACAATTCCCAGGTTCCTTGGGTATGTACTGTAAATGTGCACTGGATGTGCTTTAAATGTTTGGTGTGGATCTGCCTACTGTCACAGATATGATCTTGCACTAGTTTTGAATTCATGTACTGCAATCACAGTCTGAAACTGATATGTTTGAATAATGATTTAGCATCTAGGTGGTATACTCCAATGTGATTTGGTCTTTATTAATTAGAACTGCTTGCCTACAGCTGATAATAAGTTATATAATTTGCAGTTTTCACATTTACAGGCAATAGGTCAGCAATTGCTAACATGCTTTCCCTCCCTTGTGTTTCCAAAATGCACAATCTACCTTGGCACTTTCTGTTAACTACGTATGCAAGAAGTGCACCTAGGTAGAAGTGCATATGAAAGCATGACTACGGACAGGCAAGTACCGTATTTTTCGCTCTATAAGATGCATCAGACCACAAAACACACCTAGTTTTTGGAGGAGGAAAACAAGAAAAAAAATGTTCTGAATCTCAGAAGCCAGAACAGCAAGAGGGATTGCTGTGCAGTGAAAGAAGCAATCCCTCTTGCTGTTCTGGCTTCTGGGATAGCTGTGCAGTCTGCATTCGCTCCATAAGATGCACACACATTTCCCCTTACTTTCTAGGAGGGAGAAAGTGAGTCTTATAGAGCAAAACATACAGTACTTAGAAAACCTTTTAAAAAAATATTTGTTTTGTAAAATTCCTGGAGACCCAGTTCCCAAAAGTCCAGAAGTCTCATGCAACTGTATGCAATTGGCTGTGCTAACTGTTGCTTGTTGCATATCAACGTTCATTTTTCTCTTCTACTTCCAGGCTTGTCATGTAGTCACTTTCCTTTGCCTAATTTATTATACATCCTTAGTGTAACAGGAGGTATTTTGGTTGCTATGCAACTTTTCTAATTGCTAGAATGTGATGCCTAGTATCTCCTTGTTGATCAGTATTAAGCGTTTCCAATGATGAAAATAACTGTGTGCACTGGGGAAAATTTAGTCTATGACTGCTGATATAACAGAGGTACCAAACCTGCCTTTCTGTGCCTTCCTTTCATATCATTTCCGTTACAGTTAACAAGGGGAAGGTATTTATGGGCCTTTTACCAGGTGAAATGTTGACCAAAATACAATGTATCTCTGTGTATGAGACAAGCAAACACTGTCGGTAGTTTTGTGTATTAAATAAAATGTTTCCAATGAAAATACAATGATTTCTAGTTGTGGTTACTTTATACACTCCTGGACAATTTCTTATATATTTTTGTCATTTCCCCCCCTTTTTGGTATGGTTACCTCAGATTTTATGTCAGTAATTTACATAAAACAGTTTTATAGTTATATATAGTATAGCTTATATAATTTACAATATAATTTTAAGGGAAAGTTGATTTTACTGATAGTTGACATGTATATAACCTCAAATGATACCAAGAAGCAAGCATGCTTGTTCTGTTCTGTTTCTGCATTGCAAATAACTATACACAGACACATAATAGAAAGTTTGGTTTCTTAAGCTCTACTTTTAGTAAGAACATACTTTTATTAAGAATAAAAATTCGTATTCAGTATGAATGGACTAAATATGGACTAATGTTAAGCCTTCACATAGCTCAGCCTAAGTGAAAATCAAGTGCTGAATTTTAGAACTTGAGCACAGAACTTCAAGCAACTTTGGGAAATGCTTCATTCAGGACTTTAAAGACTAGTTATACAGAAGCATTATACTGACACAGTGCAATAAGTTTCAAAATGCATTATCAGTTGCTTGTTTTAGTACTTGGCTTTGTTTCACAAACAGAATTCAACACACACATTTTATAAAACATTCGTTTTTAGTGATAGAGCATGATATTTTCCTGGACCATTGCTAAGCAGATCAACTCTTGCAAGCTTAAGACACTCTTGCAGGGCTCAAGAGCAATTATTATAAAAGCCTTCCAGTGCATCCAGGACTAATTTGGACCCTTGCGCTGCCAGGTCAGACCTGGAGGGTTTTCTAGGGTTGTTATACCAATGGTTCACTTAAAACGCTTTAATTTACTGTATACTCTCCAAGGACTTTTAAAAATTCAGTTTAGCTGAGGTCACGACTCTGAACACAATATAACAACCACCCCAAGCCTTTTTAAGTGGAAGCCAATTCTGCTGACAGAAACAGCCCTCTTGCGTCGACTGCTTTTTGAGGAAGCAGCCCCGATTTATTTCCTGACGCGGCGCGAACACGGATTGGCCACGGGACACCAGGCGCGTCGTGAGGATGGACAGCAGCGCTCTGCGCGCCCAAAGTTTCCTGTATTAGCATTACGTTAACACCGTCGTCGTCATTATGGAATAAACTTGCGAAACAAGCCCTCCGCGATCCCTGCCCCACCCCAGGGCTGCTCTTCCCAGCAGGCTCCCGAGTCCCGCTCCCAAACCTTCCCTTCCCGCCGCCTCCCTTCTCCCGGAGGCACCACCAGCCCAGGATTCCCAGGGAGCGGCCTGGGCCTGGCGGCGCCAAGCCAAAGAGGCTCAGCGGGAGAGAGTCAGGGGGCGCTGTGGGAGAGCCCGCCGCCTTCCGTCGAGGGAGCCCGACTTTCCCCTCCTCAGCAACAGCTGCTGCCCCCTTCCTCCTCCCTCGCCGGGTCTCCGCCGGCCGCCATGTTAGGTCGGGATGGTGAACTCGGGCTTTGCTGAGGGGGACCCGGCGCCTCCTCCGCCTCCGCCTCCCTCCCTGGTGCGCGTGGAAGGAGAGCGAGCGAGGGCCCTGGCTTCCCGGCTCCTCCCTCTCCCCACGGCCTGGGCTCGCGTGCCGCCGCCGCCGCCTCGCCAAGCGGCCGCCCAGATATCTCTCTCAGCCCGGGGAACCCTAGGCCGGGGCTGATGCCGAGGGGCTGAAGGCTCCGGGCGGCACCTGCGCGGTGGGGGCGTCGCGTCGGGCGCCCCCCTTCCTGCCTCCGTCTCCCCCTCACGCTCTCCAGCTCCCCTTCACTCGACGGGCCGGAGGTGCCTCCTGCCCTGAGGCGGAAGCGAGGGCGCCCTCACGCCCTCCGCCCCAGAGGAGGACTCGGCGCTTTCTCCCGGAGCGGGCCCAGGAAAAAGCAGGTGAGCGTCCCGAGCGCTTCCGTCGCCTTCCCCGCTCTCTCCCTGGAGGCGGAGGCGCCCGCAGAGCGCTAGGCCCCGCGTGCTTCTCCTCACCCGTCGTCGTCGTCGTCCCCCCCCCCCGACCCCTTCGGGAGTGCTTAGCTTCTTATGGTGTAAGGCTCTTCCTTCCTTGCTCCACACTTCCAGAGTTTTTAAGCAACTCCTTCTGCCTTTCCCCCTTTTCGTTTAGGAGAGTTTGCGCCTGTCAATCACGCAACAGTGTGGGAATATTTCAAAAACGCTGCCTTTAAAAGTTTCATTTCCAGGGGGTGGGGGTGTTTGGATGTGTCCCCCCCCCTTTCTCCTTCCCCGCTCCCTCCCCTTCTCGTGTGTAGAGGTGGCAGCCTGGCAGGAGACGCGCCTTCTGCTTGTGTTGGCTCCTGAAAGCCAGATAACAACTGTTCCCAACAGAAGGGGTCCTCTTCGCCCTCGCTTTCTCTGATTGACGATCCCAACAAGTTTCCTGGTTAGGCTTTGTTTGTTTTGTTTGTTTTGGCAAGGGGAGGAGAGGAAATAGGAGAGGAAACTCAAGTACTGTACCAAGTTATGCTTTCCAACCTTCACAAGCGCCCTTTCCAGCCTTCTCAACTTTTAAACTCCTGGAATATGTCTCGAAGCGAGTTGATGAAGTCTCTCTTTGTAGTCCCCTCAAGCAAATGCTGTATGCTGCTAATAAAGTAAGCCGGGGACCATTTGTTCTCTTGAGTGTCAACGTCGTTTAAAGGATTTAGCACAGTTCTTAGTTTTAAATGTACAGTAGTCTGTTTCTCAGCCCCAAAAACTGCAACTGCGTTGTTGTGGGTCAGAACGAATTCAGAAACTAAAAGCTGATTCCTGATCTGCACTTTGGTCCCAATATATGTATATTGTTTTCCAAACAATGATACCAGAGATCATGACTCTTAAGAATCATTAAGCTTTTATTACAGAACAAAATGCAACTGTGGTTTCCTTCAAGCATTTGGGGTTTTTATTTTCCCACTGGGGGAGAAGTAACTTCCTTTAGAAACTTCATGAGAATTCATGACATGAAGACATAATGAACTTGCTCAAGTTAACAAGGCAGTATACAAAATGTATAGGATAATGGCACATTTCAGTTAGTATATCTATTATCCATAGGCTACATCATTTTGAAGTGTAATTAGTATTTACTTGAATTTACAATCAAAACAATTTATTAAATATTAGGTCCTAAACAAAAAAATTTCTCTTTGAAATGAATATGTTCACACTACATGTACTTACATGCACTGAGCATATTTAAACCTTAAATTAATCACGAGCAGTTTCACTCTTAACAGTTAATATAATATTTACTGTGAGTCCACCCATCACATTTTGTGATACTATGTTATGTAATTTTTAAAGTATGCTGATTAGGGAGGGACTGTAATGATTTGTTGTCAGTACTTGGGGAATATTAAAGTTGCATTGTCAAATAAAAACCACTTCAAGTTCAGATCTTAACTGAAGTGTCTTGGAGTAAAACAGTCTGAAACTACTTTGCAGCAGATTAGCATTTTGTTTTAATTTTTATTTTGAAAACCAGTGGAGTAAATGATATAGTTAAAAGTAGTTTTAAAGGAGGAAAGCACTTCTTTATGCAATAATAAAATAATCAGTATTGAAGGCCTTGTTCTCTAGTTAAGAACACATGCAACGTTTAGCGTTCCAAAGAAATTTTAGCGTTGAAAGAAATTTTAATCAAACAAGCGTATAAGTTTATCAATGAATCACTTTGAGTTGTATCCAATGTTAGTCCTATTCAAAGTAGCTCCATTTATTCCAGTGGATCTTCTCTGACTTAGTTAGATATCACCCCTAGGTTGCAATTCTATACACATTTACCTGACAATAAGTATCAATGAACTCACTACATCTAAGAACAAACATAGGATTATACAGGCTGTATGTGTGTAAAATACTTGGAAAGCAAGAAGCGTATGTTTTAGATACCATACACATACCATAGCAGGCATTTCTTCCTACATGTGAGAAAATATGGAATGCCTCTTTTTAGATGATGAAATTTTTATAAGTAAATCTGTTATTTTTATTTTTTTAAAAAAAGCTGCTGTAAGGTTATTAAAAACAAAAAAAAGCCCAGCCCCTGAGGTGAAATGCATAATGCCAAGCAGATCTCATCTGCTTAGCAGGGTCAAGTGTTAAGACAATATTTACTATAAAGGCAAAGCATAGTGTTGCAGATCAAATATAACCCATACAGTCTTCAAAGAGCAAGTGATTTCTGATAATGTTTCATGGTTTTCATATGTTAGTTTTTAATCAAACTGCTTGAAATATGTCAGACTTGCATTAATTGTTTCAACAGTTGGGTTTTTTCCAAGGTCTTTCTGCACTATCTAAATTACAGTTTTACCCTAGTGAGTGAAAACCTGAGGTTTTGAATTTATAACCTAATCCTTTGCACAGATTTTTAATGGAACTTAGTCCCAAGTAAGTAGGTAAAGTGGGGGGCCTAACCCATGGGCTGGATCATCTCCCCCCCAAAAAAAACCTGATTCCCAAAGACCCCCAACAAGGTTAACCCCACCACCAGTCTATAGGATTGCATCTCTATACAATTGCATTACCATGTAGCAGTTCAAAATAGCTTTGGGGGTCAAATATCGCTGGTGGAGATGCAAAGTCAAGGGGATGTGCACAGTACAACTTCCAGATTTCCAAAAGCTGCGTAAGGTTGTCACCAACTAGCTATTTCCCCATTCTTCAGAAGACTGGAAAACTAGCATTATGTACAGCCTCCAGTGCAGTGCTAAGAACTATGGTGTGGGTGAGTAGGAGATATTTTCTGAGCCTAAAGGCTTCTTTGGATCCCAGCTGTTGTAGTGTTGATAAGATTGCTAGGTGAAAGTTTCAAGTTACAAGATTGCTTTTAAGCTGTTGCAGTACTTACAATGAATATATTGATAGACTTAAATGAAGATTTCTATATTTAAGCAATAACTCTTTATTATCTTATGGATGCATTAATATACCACCTTCTAAAAAGTCTTCTCACAAGGCTACTTGAAAAAAAATCTATAAAAAGCAATCACATATATCTTTATAAAAAATAAAATCATGCCTCCCTGAATGAAGATGTTTTCAGTGTGCATTGCGTTTCAAAAGTACAAAGAAAGAGGCTTGTTCTATTTCCCCAGGGAGGGATTTCCATAATTCTGGTATCACTAAAGAAAAGGCCTGTCTCTGGTACCCTTCAAATGTATCTGATTTTAATGAATACCAAAGAGCTGATCGTGATGGGGCACTCTTAAATGTTTCATTCGTGCAACAGCAAAGGCAGTTCTGTAGATCACTTTCCCCCAACCTGATGACTTCCAGATATTTTAGAAAACAACTCTCATCAGACCGTCAGTCAGGGATGATTGGACCTGTAGTCCTAAATATATGATGCACACCAGGTAGAGCAAGGCTGTTTTAGATAAACAGCCCCCAGGCTGTTTAAAGATTTAAAGATTTGGACCAGCACCTTAAATTTAACTTGGAAACAAATTGGAAAGTACCGTATTTTTCGCTCTATAACACGCACCAGACCATAACACGCACGTAGTTTTTAGAGGAGGAAAACAAGAAAAAAATATTCTAAACAAAACAGTGGATGTATGATTTTTGTGGTTCATGCTGTGGCCACAGACATGTGATCTGACGGTGAGTTTGGGGTAGCCCAATGCAAAAATCCTGAGGATCCATGTGGATCCATGCTAAAGTCGCCCTAAAGTCGCAGGGGCGCTGGGGGAGTGAACAGGAAGCAGGAGGAGGAGAACAATCCCTCTCACACACAGACACACACACACACAGAGTATCAATCCTAAAGTCGCAGGAGAGGCAGGGGCGCTGGGAGTGGGAAGCAAGAGAAGGAGAATGATCCCCCCCTCTCTCTCTCTCTCACACACACACACACACAGTATCAATCCTAAAGTCGCAGGAGAGCGCAGGGGCGCTGGGAGAGTGAAGGGGAAGCAAGAGGAGAACGATGCCTCACACACACACAGACACACACACACACACACACACACACACACAGAGTATCAATCCTAAAGTCGCAGGAGAGCGCAGGGGCGCTGGGAGTGGGAAGCAAGAGAAGGAGAACGATCCCCCCCCTCTCTCTCTCACACACACACACAGAGTATCAATCCTAAAGTCGCAGGAGAGCGCAGGGGCGCTGGGAGTGGGAAGCAAGAGAAGGAGAACGATCCCCCCCCTCTCTCTCTCACACACACACACAGTATCAATCCTAAAGTCGCAGGAGAGCGCAGGGGCGCTGGGAGAGTGAAGGGGAAGCAAGAGGAGAACGATGCCTCACACACACACACACACACACACAGAGTATCAATCCTAAAGTCGCAGGAGAGCGCAGGGGCGCTGGGAGTGGGAAGCAAGAGAAGGAGAACGATCCCCCCCTCTCTCTCACACACACACACACACAGTATCAATCCTAAAGTCGCAGGAGAGCGCAGGGGCGCTGGGAGTGGGAAGCAAGAGAAGGAGAACGATCCCCCGCTCTCTCTCTCACACACACACACACAGTATCAATCCTAAAGTCGCAGGAGAGCGCAGGGGCGCTGGGAGAGTGAAGGGGAAGCAAGAGGAGAACGATGCCTCACACACACACACACACACACACACACAGAGTATCAATCCTAAAGTCGCAGGAGAGCGCAGGGGCGCTGGGAGTGGGAAGCAAGAGAAGGAGAACGACCCCCCCCTCTCTCTCTCACACACACACACACACAGTATCAATCCTAAAGTCGCAGGAGAGCGCAGGGGCGCTGGGAGAGTGAAGGGGAAGCAAGAGGAGAACGATGCCTCACACACACACAGACACACACACACACACACAGAGTATCAATCCTAAAGTCGCAGGGGCGCTGGAAGTAGCAGGGGCGCTGGGAGAGTGAAGGGGAAGCAAGAGAAGGAGAACGATGCCTCACACA